CACACTGAAATTAATGGAATTGATTCCCAAATAGATGCACTCTGAGTGGCTTTAATCAATGATTTGCTTGCTAGAGTCTCAAATATTAACAGTCAGGAAATCAATATTACAATATTTCAAATGTCACATGGGAACTTTGGATATTCCCTTTAACTTTTTTTTACTGAATTCAGAATGATAAGGAACATATATAAGCTTTTCATTTAAAAAAATATCACAGTGCAAAGTAAATTTCCTCTTTTAGAATATTCCAGTCTATGAGACAAGTGCTTTGGTAAATGCATGTTTCATGTCACTTAGGAAAGTGAACACCTACATGGGATCATAGGAGAACTCTGTTACCACAAAAGAGAAATTTTAATTTTTCTGAGTGAGTGTATGGATTTAATTCTCTTAGAGTCATTATGAGTAGGCAGTATGCAAGTTGCTGTATAATAAAGGTTATCATGAATTATCAATAATGTTGAGCTGAATCCAACATTATGCAAACAGCTTGAGCAACAGAGCTATATATTCTTATATCTCTTACAGCTCCTGTCATCTCTTCCACATCCAGAAATTTAGAACCGATTATGAGGGGGTGAAGGTCTGGAAGAGTTTTATCAGAAAGGGAGTTTGTTGAATTCTACCTGATTTATTTATTTAAGTGGTCATTGCAGGTGTGGAGAAATTGATTTATTTGATCAGTAGTTGCATAATTTATTCTACATTTATTTGGGGGCTAAATAATTGTATTTTATACTGATAGCCACCACCCAAAAATGATAACCTTAGGATTTTTATATTGATGTTATCTCCTCTTTCATAGGTTCTTTTCTACTTGGTAATATAGAAATTTAGACACAGGGTGGAAGAGAATGCTTTTACATTCTGACTCATTTTTCAGAGGAGTAGTTTATTTAAATCTATTTCATTTGTCGAATTTAGAAGGCCATCAAATTCCATAAAGACTCCAGGCAGCATACAACATTAATTAATTTATTATGATGTATTTATTTATTTAGAAATTTACATGGCCACTCAACTCTACAACAAATCTTGGTGCTGTACAGTGAAAACAATAATAAAATACAATTAACTAAAATGCCAGAAGAAAAAACAATTACTGAAAAACAAACACACAGCACCCACCATCAACACTAACCCAAGGCCTGGGGGAAGAGCTACGTTTTCAAGGCTTTTTTTAAACATGGTCAGGGTGGGGCCAGCTCTATTTTACATAACAGTTGTATTCTCAGATAGTATTGGAAATGTATTTAATTTGATTTTGGTGCCGCCCGAATCCAAAATGATTCTTTATCTTTAAAGATACATCAACAAAATGTCTCCTGACTATTTAACTGTGGAATGATTGTCACAAGGGATGTCAGTATTTCCATTCCTTTTAAATATGCCAGTTATTTCTTCTCATCCAACTGTCATTTGTTCTCTCTTAACTTCTCTCTCCCCCACTCTCCAAACTGACAATATTCTACCTGCCTTTCTTACAGAGAATTGCCCAGTTATAACAATATTCTACCATTTCATCACATTTTTGATGAAAGCTTACCTCTGCTATCCTTACAGGATAACGGATTTAACAAAAATGGAAGTTTTTCCCCCATCACCCCCTCCCAAAATTATTTATTTTTCTGTCATGATACAGTCAAGTTATTTATATTTCCTGCCTTGATGAACAGTCAGCTATCACAATTTTATTTCCTGCCAATTGATGTTTATAGCTGTTACTCTTTCCTTTTGCTTTCTTCCAGTTCTGCACAACCACATTTCCACTGAGGAAAGCATCATATCACCATTAACAGCTGCTTCTTGTTTAGATTCCTTAACTTCCTCATCTCCGTTGAATTTTTTTCCTCATTTTCAATTTTTTCAAACAAAATTGGAAATACCTGAAATTGTATCAGCTGTTGCTCCATGTGGGATTGTTAAAATCACATTTTCAGTCCCCTGTGAAAAAAATAGAAAAAAGATCTTTCTACCAGTGTTGCTTTCAGGACTGATTCATCCAATCTTGTACTTTTAAAGTCTCCTTTAAATTATGTGGGTTTTTTTCTTATTGCATTGTCCTTTTCTTTTTCATCTTCTACCTTAGCAATTTCACCTTTTTCTTCCATTTCTACTTAATATGATTGCTTGATACCATCTGGAGAAATCATTTGTTTTTGAATTAAAGGTAATTCTTCTCTTAAAGCCAAGGA